ATTGAACTTTTACTTTGTTCTTTCGCAGATGGCGAGAACACGTGCTTCTACATCCGCTGACCAGCAGCCCGAGCTCCCAGCAGTAGCTCCCATGAGGGGCAGAGGATGAGGCCGAGGTCGCGCTAGGGGCCGAGGCAGGGGCAGAGCTCATCCCAGAGCAGCAGCACCAACAACGGAGCCTCAGGTAGAGCTTGATGATGAGGTTTCGGCCAGACAATTCCAGTGGGCCCAGCTCAGGTCCCAGAGGGGTTCATCGCTACCACGGTACTCCAGGATGCTCTGGTCCATCTAGTGGGCCTTATGGAGAGTGTCACTCAGGCATGCTTACTTCCTGTAGCACCAGCCCTCTCTCAAGCTGGGGGAGGAGCACAGACTCCCGCTACCCGCACTCCGGAGCAGATGGCTCCCCAGTTTCAGACTCCAACAGCTCAGCTAGTTGGAACAGTTCAGCCGGGTGTAGTAGCTCAGACCGGTGATGGGGAAGCTATGTATGCCGATGCTTTGTGGAGATTGGACAGGGTCACCAAGCTGTTCACTACTACTTATGGTGGTACATCTTCAGAGGATTCCCAGGATTATTTAGACAGCTGTCATGAGGTTCACTACAACAAATATGATATTTAGCAACGAAATTATTAGCTACGACATAGAATTCGTCACTAATTGTTTACTTTTCGTGACAAAAATTATAATTCGTCTTTAAATGCATAAATCGCATACTTTTAGTGACGAAACACAAAAATTCGTAGCAAAGTATCGTTCACTAAATTTTCCCACCAAAAAATATGTTGGCGCCATTTATTGAGTAATATTAGCCACGAAATTGAAATTATCGGTGACAAAATTATTTTGTCACTAATGATGTACCCAATTAGCGACGAACCATTGTTTGTCTTAAATTAGTTAAATTTTGGATACGAAAAATTTTAGTCACCAAAAATATATGGTTACAATAGCGACGAATTACAAGTTGTAGTTAAATGTTCTAAACCTAGCCATAACATTTTATATTTAATTGTGAACTTACTTTTTGTCACTGATAGCGCAAACAATTAGTGACAATGATTTTATTGTCTCTATTTAACCTAAAATTTAGTCACAACGAATTTTGTCATATAATATATAATTTTAAATGGCTGCGACTCAATTTTGTAGTTGAATCGTGTGATTATTGGCTACAAAAACAATTTGTTGTTAAAAACAAAAAAAAAATCATATTATATTTTAACTACGAATTTAAAGTGTTGTTCATGCAATATATATATATATATAGAGAGTTGAACTAGTGAGTGAAACAACCATCATTGGAAAATTACTGAGCGATGAATCCTCAATTTTACTTATATTAGAAATTGTATAAATGTGTTTCTTTCTACTTTGAGCACATGAATTCAATTTCTTATTGGAACAAGTTTTAGTTTTATTTAATTCCATGTTGAAGCGAACCGTTTTATTTGGTTTTTATATTAAACTTATACCATAAAATTAACTCTACATTTCAAAATTAGTGTACCACTTTAATTTAATTTTGTCTTACTTAAACTTTCATATTACAAGATGATTACGGTCTGTTGAGACGAAAGCGGATAGAAATTAACTTTTTTATTTATTTATAGAAAAAGTGGTATATATGTTTCCTTCATTATTTTTACTAATTTAAACTTTATGACATATTAGACAAAACTATAATTCCAATTGATATTTTTTCTTATATTTACATTAGAGATTGATAGGAACACAAGTGGATCTAAGATTTCAAGAAGATGGATGCACTATTATAAAAAGTGGTTCTACGATATAAATTTAATAGGTTCAACCTTTTAAAGTTTACCATTGAACTTATTGCGCTTTTGAAATTATAGGTTCTAACTTTTTTATATTTTAAAATAGTAATATAGTACGATTTGCATGCATCCATCTCCGTGTTGAAAAAGTTGGGATTAGTCAAAACTCAGTCGACTATATGCTGCATCCTTCAATGTTACTACTTTTAATATACATATGTAATTTAATTATATAAAGTTTTATGGTGATTAAATTTGAATATGAATTCAGACATGGAAAATTTGAAAGAACAAACCAAAGGAAAAAATAAAAAAGTACCTCATTAAAACGCAAGAAGGGACACGCGACATTTTGGACACTTACGAGATCAAGCTCAAGCAAGAACGAAAGATAAATCAAGATTCAAGGAGTACGAGTCCAACGTATCCGTCCATTGAATTTATTTTTTATTTTTTGAAAAGAAGAATCAGTAGAACTATAGAGATCGTAATATTTGGATTAAAATACTACACTTCTTACAATATTTTCTAGCCTTGATTATTTTTTTGACGTGAATTTAATGTATTTCCTTGAAAATTGATATCATTAATATACAAAAATACAAATATATAATACAATCTTACAGTAATATTTAATGGGAAGTCATTAAAGGAGAGAAGTTTTATGTATGGAAATTTTATCCAAAAATATTGGAGGGAATATAAGATAAAAAAGTTAACTTTCAATTATTTCCCTTCCCTCCAATATTATCGTGTAAATTCTTCTCTCACCCATTCCCTCCCTATAAACCACGAACAACCTCCCACTAAGACTAACTTGAAGTATCCAATTCAACTACAACTATATAGACTCCTAAAGAAAAGAGAAGTTCCTGCAAATGTTTAGTTTTTTCTTCTTTTTCTATCAATTTCTATTACCCCAACTAAACCAACTCATCTTCCTTGTAAGATATTGACCTCCTATCAATACTTTGTTAGTCTCTATGCAAAAGTTGATCAATACGAGTAATTCAACAAGCTTTTGTTGTGAAATTTGTCCTTTGCTATGAATTGAAGGCCTTGATTCATGGCTTAACGAAGGAATTCTTGACATTCTTTTGATGAAGAGGTAAGTTTTTATTGATGTAGTGTAGGATTTTGTAGAGAAGTTAATTACTATCTATTTCTCATTTTATTATTTGATTCACTAATTAGTGTTAGTTTTGTGATTTAAGTTTGAAGATATATTTTGTTTAAATCACGAAAATAGAAATTAAATTATGTAATATTAATTTTTTTTTCCTTTCCACAGGTATATGAAGGTGCAAAAAGTGTGAGTTTTAACTAAGGGACGCCTCAATGGCACATGAGGAAGCAACATACTTTATTTTATTTTATTTTATAATTTTAGTTTTAACCCGTATTTCAATTAGACTTTTTGTATTTGAGGCTTTTAGTTTGTAGTTTGTATTCAGATGTTATCTTAGAACAATTATAGATGTATAGTATATTTTTTTGTATGAATTTTGGTATTACCTTTCTCTTCTATTTCTGTGATGTTTTTGGTTTACATAAGAGTATATTTAGTGAGAAAAAAAATTAACTTGTCCAGTATTTGCCTTCATATGAACAACATAATTTTATTTTTATCTACAAATTAGCTTAATATTTGATGACAATTAAAATTATCATTAACTAAGACAATATATAGAGACTAATTAGTCTTATCACTAATAGCACCATTCGTCGAGACCCAAAAATAGTTTCAAGTACAAAAAAATTGCCTTCTTCGACAAACAAATCTGTCTCTATTTTATATATTTAGAGACGAAAGATTCCTTTTGTACATAAAATTAAACCAATTAGTGACACAGTCATAGTATGTATAGCTTTAACGACAATTAATATCATCACTAATTAAAATTATAATTAGTGACAAATTAGAATCGCCAGTATTAAAGACCTTTTTAGCGACGACATGATGCTTTTGACTACAAAAATTTGACACTTTTTATGACAAACAAGGTCGTCACAAATACAACTTAATTGGGGACGAAAAATATTTCGTAGTTAATATAACTTTATTTTGTGACGAAAACTCAAAGTTGTCTTTATATACTATTAGTGACGGCGTTTCAGAGACGAAAAATTGACAAAAAAATTTTTGTCACGAAAAAACATTTGTGACGAAATATGAATATTAGGTGACAAAATAATTTATCACCAATAATCAAATTTGTTGTAGTGGTTCTTCGGAACATGGGGATAGTGGAGACCAATGGGGCCGATTTTGCTGCTTTCCGTCTGTCAGGTTCCGCCAAGAAATGGTGGAGAGATTATTGTTTGGCCAGACCAGTTGGATCACCAGCTCTCACTTGGGACAAGTTCTCGCAGCTATTCCTCGAGAAGTTTCTTCCCGTCACTCAGAGAGAGGAGTACCGTAGGCGGTTCGAACGTCTCCGGCAGGGTTCTATGACTGTCACCCAGTACGAGACGAGGTTTATTGATTTGGCTCATCATGCTCTTCTGATACTCCCCACCGAGAGAGAGAGGGTGAGGAGGTTTATTGAGGGACTCGCTCAGCCTATTAGACTATAGATGGCTAAGGAGACAGGTAGCGAGATTTCTTTTCAGGATGCGGCCAATGTGGCCAGGCGGGTTGAGATGATTTTAGCTCAGGGGAGCGGTCAGGGGTCTGATAAGAGGTCTCATCATTCTGGCAGATTCAGTGGTGCCTCGTATAGAGGCAGGGATTCTCTTGGTAGAGGCCATCCTCCTAGGTAATTTCAGTCAGCACTTCAGGTTTCTCACGGTGCTCCAGGTGGCCGTGGTTCTCCACAAGGTAGGGGTAAGGTCTATCTGCTTACCCTCCCCAGACCCCACTATGTGAGATTATATTGGATATATTGTTATTATTGTTGTTGTTTTGGCCAATATAAAAAGGTTTTGTTGGACTAACCTTTACACAAATAGCCAGTTGAATTCATAGTTTATTTTTCTTAGTGGGTAAATATAGATTATACACTGATTGTACATATATTATATATGGCATTAATTATACATATACTATACATCCGTCGAATATTTTTAGCTTAAATGGTTGGGTGGACGGCTATTTAAGTTAACTCGTCTCAATTTTTACCCTTCTCAATTTTTCCTCTATTGTTCTTCAACTAAAGGTCCCTTCGGGGACATCCCATAGAGTTCTTCAACTAAAGTCAATAAATGTATCACGTATTTCTTCAAGAAATGTTAATTGATTTTTATTTGTAATACTTCGCCTGGCAAATTACAAGTATGTCAGACCACCATGAATATGAATAGGACGAAAGTGAATAGGCCGAAATTAAATTATCACAGAAATTATGTAATAGGACGAACCAAGTTGAACATGACTTGATCTCGAGTTTCACCATCTTGAACCCCAAATCCATCTCCAAATTGGTACATGACATGTGCCATCCGTGCTTCATTTACTACATGCTTGAGAAGTTTTCGATGTGATGTAGAAAGAGTATTGAAATGGTAATTGATCTTTTTCCACGAATCCAAAATTAGGCTTTCGATATGCTCTCGGGCTACATCCTCTGAAACATTTTCTTGTTGCATGTAACATAAAATTGATGAAGCAACATCACCTCTCTCTAGCTCCGCCTACGTGAAAGAACTATTATGAAAATTAAGAACTGGCCAAATGGAGAAATTATTAGAATGGAAAGCACATAAAAAGAGAGGTAAAAGCTTGAGGTTTTACCGCTGAGGTACCCTGGTCATTGCAAAGTCGAATCACAACCGAAGTGTGGTAAATAATTTCACGGCAATCTTCGTATAAATCAAGGGTTTCTTTTGTTATTTTATTTGTTAGACCAAAAATCACATGTAAAGAAAGTAAAGGGCCGGAAGATGAGATCCATCCATTATCAAGGTACTCTTCAAGTTTTGGTATATGGCCTTTGTGATACCACGTTGCTTCCAACAGCAAGGCTTTGCAAAAGTTGACCCACTGATCGAATTATAGTATTATTTAAACAATATCAGAAGAATTTCGTAAAACATGCATGGAAATTAAAGAGACATGTAAAAGATGCAACATGAACACAGGTTAGACAAAAATAAAAGAAAAGACGTGACTACATGGTACGTTTCGCTTTCAATTACAGCTTCATTTTTGAGGTGAGACAAATTGGCTTATTCGGATTTAGTCTTAGGCTTTTACTTGTCATAAAATGAATAGGTGATCAATAATTAGTAATCCCTCAATTCTAAATAGTTATCATGTTTCGCTTCTCAAAAATCAATTTGACTAATATCGAAGCCAAATTAGAACAGATCAACTTAATATGTTAGAATTAAAATTTTAATGTTCAAAAATTATATGAAAGTACTATAAGTTACAAATTTTTTAATTTCACTATGCTAAAAAATCTATTTTAAAATGTTAATCAAATTCCACCTATTTTGGCTTTAGCGAATCATGACAACTAATTTGTGACGGAGAGGGTATATACTTAATTAAATAATAACATGATAATGCATCTAGTATTGGAACCAAGTTGCTTTAGCTTCGGCTGCGTTATGGGAAAATTTGGATGATGAGCTTCGGAGGCGCTAGAAGATGAGCTTCTCTATATATGCACAAAGATTTTCTTTCCTTCTTCCAATGAGGGACAAAGTGCATTAGTAAAGTGAACTAATTCAAAATTTCATTTCCTTCCTTTTTCTTTTCTCACCATTTTCCATCCACACCTCTTTTGTTATTAGTAATAAAACCCAACACATGTTTCCATCACCATGTCTTTGACATCCTCCTTAAGATTTGCTTCCTTCATGTAAACACAAGATAGATGAAGGCACATCACCTCTTTCGTGTTCAGCCTGTTAATTAAGTGCTTGAAAATATGAGAATATCACAAATTCGTCAAAAGAAAAAAAAAACTCATAAGGCAAGATCTCAAAGAAATAATAAGGAGAGAAATTATATTGGAAATGTAATTACTAAATATAATAATTACTTATAGCTGAAGTCCCAAGGTCGTTACAGAATCGGATTATAAGGGAGGAATAATATATAAGGTCTTGTTTAATCTCCAGATAATCTATAACTTGTGAGCAATCTTGAGCTAAACCAATAATTACATTAATAGAGAGCACACATTGCCTCCTGATGATTTCCATCGGTTATCTAAATATTCCTAAAATGGTTTGAATCCCATTTAGCTTCCACAAGCAATGCTTGGCAAAAATCTGCCTGCTGATTTTTGTTTTGTACGTTCTTGTCGAATTTGTGTCATGTAGTGATTAAATAAAACCATAGACAATAATTGAATTACTATTTAATTTCAGAAAAAGTAAGTACCACTTTTTGCAGATATGTTGACACTGGTATTTTCCAACGTTTTTGTTGCTGAATTGCAAGTGCTACATCATTTGTGGTATCATATACTAGTTTCCAAAAGCATAGCATTGGTGAAGATTTCTAGGTCATACAAAGAGCCACAAATATCATAAACATCGTCAATTACTATAATATGAAAGTGATGGCTTTGGTGAGCAAACTTCTGAAATTTGAATGCCGAGGCACAAACGCAACTCCCACTGACCGCAAAAAGCTTTCAACAACTTTGCCTCTGCTGAAGCTTATAGATTTTCTATCAGTCTAAGTTTCCTCCACCACCTATTTCGAACTACCGGATAAGATGTCAATTTTGTTGTACAGTAACCTGTTTTTATTATTATTAATTTCTCCAAACAACACTACAAGGTGTCAATTTTTGTAGGAATATCCTGTTTTTATTTTCTCTTACATTTTTTTTTGTAGAATATCTTGTGTTTCTATTATTTTCTTTGGAGAATTAATTTATATACACTGAGAGTGAAAGGCGAATCTAGAATTTAAATTTTATAGGTCCGAGATTCTAGGACAACAGCTTTAAGTGTAATTAACTGGATTCGAATCTTAATATTTGAATATATTAGTGAATTTCTCAATACATATATAGGCAGGGGTGGATTTAGGGGGGGAGGGGAGGGGGGGGGGGTTGCAGAAGGTGGTTCGTTCAAATCTCCTTGGCCGAAAAATTACACTTATTATATAAGGCAAAATCTATTTTTTACCTCTATATATTATGTTTTGAATCCCCTTGGCACGGTTAAAAGCATAGCTTAGTGGTCAAGAGGGTTCAAAACTTTTGTAAGGTATTAGTTACGTTTAATTACCACTAGCTACAAACTTTTTAAATTTTTATATTTTTTGAACCCCCGAGCGGAGATTCCGCTGTCGGCCTCCTCCGCCATTGTATATAGGGTCTAGACTAATAGCCTGTTTGGCCAAGCTTTTTTTTTGGCCAAAAGTGCTTTTTTTGGCCAAAAGCACTTTTGGCAAAAAATTGAGGTGTTTGGCCAAGCTTTTGGAAAGAAAAAAAGTGCTTTTGAGGAGAAGCAGAAGCAGTTTTGGAGAAGCAGAAAAAAGTAGCTTCTCTCCAAAAGCACTTTTCTGAGAAGCACTTTTGAGAAAAATACACTTAGAAGCAGTTTTCAGAAGCTTGGCCAAACTCTAATTACTGCTCAAAAGAGCTTTTCTAATTAATTAGCCAAACACAAACTACTTCTCACCAAAACACTTTTTTTAAAAGTACTTTTGAGAAAAACACTTCTCAAAATAAGCTGATTTTAGAAGCTTGGCCAAACGGGCTATAAAGCTATTGTCCCTCCTGATGCAAGTGTAAAGAATTTTTACTACTAGATAATTAGTACTCCCTCTATTCCAGTTTAGTTGAACCTATTTCCTTTTTGGTCCATTCCAAAAAGAATGACTCCTTTCTAAATTGGGTAACAATTTAGCTTAAACTTACAATGTTACCCTTAATGAGAAGCTTTTATAACCACACAAATATTCTGACCCCTTTTTGACTTGCTTAGGACCATAAATTCTAAAAGTGTTTATTTTTTCTTAAATTTTGTGCGCAGTCAAACAGATTCACATAAATTGGAACAGAGAGAGTACCAGCAGTAATTATCTTCTAGTGGCTGATGGTGTAATTGGTTTTTACGTGTCAGAAGCTAAACTCTATTGACAAATGACAACTACATCGAAATATCAACTAGATCTTTCCGATTCTCAGCTTGGACCATATTGAAGTTGAGTTTAGCTAACTGGAGAAGCTTTAAGTTTGACCTCCGTTGTTCTTTTCCTGTTTGGAGACACAGCTTTTGCTGTTGTACCGTTCCACTTTCCAATGCAGTAGAATTTTGTTGCTTCTAATATTCTTAGTGCAAAATATTATAACCTCATTCAACATATTTTCATCCTTCAAGGCCAAGTGAGAGGCTTCAAATAGTTGCACCATCTTTTTGGATCCATTTCATCCATACAGCTAAGAAGTACGTCTGTTACAAGTACAATTTATGGAAATTAATTTTTTTTTTATCAAATCCTGTTGAGCTAGTAACTTTTTTCAAAACATAAAATAAAATAAAGGTTAATGCTGAAAGTTATATTCGACTAATACCAATTACCATATACGTACTATTACATATCTAAGATATTTGTATACCTTGTGGCACATTATAGCCATACTGCCTAGAAATCCTAAAATTTAAGCCAGTGGCATAGAGATCCATTTCAAGGCCAGAACCTTCTTCTTCTTCTTCACATATTTCATGTTTTCGCTAGGATTTAAACCAACATGAGACCTCATGGTTCTCAACTGATCACTTCATTGACTACTAGGCTATGCCTTTAGGTGCGTACAGATACTCTTCTATAAAAATCATTTATAATAGACAACCTAACATTTAGTTCTTGCTTTGTATAGAAAGGGAAAACAACAAAAGGAAAAACGCAGTAACATCTAATTTTCGTGGGAGTAGCCTTTTCATTTGATAAAAGATAGAACGAATGGAATTTTGAGCCCTTTTCTTCTATTTCCTTTTGAACACCAGTTCCAAGTTCTTTCTCTTTCTGTAAATTGTGAAGGTCAAAAGTGAAAAGTTGCATATTATCTCATCAAAAATTTTATCTACAGTGGCATCAGATTCGTCAGAAAATAACATAAAACAATGATTATCGGATACTCTTCAAGGTGGACTTGGGCCAAGTTTGATGGATCAACCAAATTGTGGGATTTGTTGGAACATAGGGCAATGTGTAAAAGTGAAAGATTTGGGCCAATCTCAATATTGATGACGAGCAAAAGTTTGGTAATTGGACTTCCCCACTCAACGTTGTCATATTGGCACAGTATGACATGTATAATAGGATTTGGTAAATTTTTAACCTTAAAATGCTTTTGGTAAAGGTAGCTCAAATATATTGGCATTGTATAGCCAAATCCCAAAAAACCTATTTCTCTATTTATTATCTTTGCCCATAACATCCACACCAATTGCATCGTCAAATCAGCATCCACAACCACCGATGCCTTGTCGACGTCGTCCAGTTAATTTCCGCCGCAAGCGAAGAAGAGTAACCTACAAGATGTGACCGCTACGAGATTCTTAGGTTTTTGAGGAATTTTCGGATCCTTCTCAAACTTAAGAGAAATACATGAGGGCAATTCATCATGTTATTGAAATGGACGGCGATTCACACTCAGCGTAGATGCACATAATGTGTTTGATTATGATAAAGATTTGTCTACCAAAATGGTTCGGTTCCCACTTTAGGTTCTTTGTTCTTTCTTTTTTTAATTAGAAATATAATCGTGCTTCTCATCTTGTATATTAATAAATCTCTAGTATATGTAATTATGTATATCCACTAAAAATTATGTATTATACATTGAGATATACAAAGAACAAAAATAAATTTTTTGATAAACATTTCGAAATACACAAAAAAGAAAAAGAAAATTGTGATATACATTTTGATATGCACATTATTTAATGTGTTATACATTGCGATATACAAGTAATGTATTTTTCTTATACACTTAATATAAACGCAATAATGGATTATATATAATTATATTTATAAATTTATATTTTAAATATACAAAGAAGGAAAATAAAATTTTCATATATATTTTGATATACATAAAAAAGAAAAAGAAAATCGTGATATACGTTTTGATATATACATTATTATTGTGATATATATTTAGTGGTT